ATACGCAGACTCATCATCCCCAGAAATAAGTCCTACTAGTGTAGTGTCGTCTGCAAATTTGATAATTCTATTACTGGGATGGTTATTGGTGCAAATTAAACAATTAAAACATTTAAACATGGGAAAGATTACAACTATTTGCTGAAACGGGGTTCAGGGTTCAGTTGTAATTGTTGAAAGCCTGCCTGAAGAGATGGGTCTTTAGCTTTTTTTCGGAAGGGGCCATCCTGACCTCCCAAGGGAGAGCATTCCATAGCCTGGGAGCTGCCACAGTGTCCCCATCAGCTGTGCTTGTGCTGGCAATGGGAGCGAGAGGAGGGCCTCCACTGCTGATTTTAATCGCTGAGAAGGCACATATAGGGAGATATGGTCCTTCAGGTAGCCTGGACCCAAGCTATATAGGGCTTTATAGATAATGACCAGTACTTTGAATTGGGCTTGAAAACGGACTGGTAGCCAATGCAGTTCTTGTAACAGGTGCGTTATATACTCCCTGTAGCTGACCCCAGTTGGTAGTCTGGCTGAAGAGTTTTGCACCAGCTAAAGTTTCTGTTACAGTAATCCAAATGGGATGAAACTAAGGCATGTGTCACTGTAGTCAAATCCGACATCTCAAGGAACAGGTGAAGCTGGCGCACCAGCTTTAGCTGTGCAAATGCACTCCGAGCCACCGCTGAGACCTGGACATCCAAGCTTAAGGATGAATCCAGGAGTACACCCAAGCTGCAGACCTAGGTTTTCAGGGGAAATGTAACCACCTCCAGCACAGGTAGTATCCCTATTCCTTCATCTACTTTCTAACTACTTTCCAACTTCCCCTGTCTTGTCTGGATTAAGTTGTCCAGCCCATTACTGATGCCAAGCACTGGTTTAGTCAAGACAGCTTCGGTGGAATTAGGTGGAAAGGAGAGATAAAGTTGGGTGTCATCCGCATACTGGTGACACTGAACCCCAAAACTCCAGACAACCTCTCCCAGTGGTTTCATGTAGATGTTTAAAAGCATGGGTGACAAAGGAAAACCCTGAGGAACGCCACAGGCCAATGTTTTATACCAGTTCCAGTTATCTGAAGGAGCACTCATTTACCATTCCTTTAGCAAGAAGGTGAATGGTTGCTATTTTTCAGTCTCTTACAAAGGCTAATTGGTTTAGATACCTAAAAGATTCTCTAGTTTTCGCAGAGTCGGTGTTGTCTGTCAGCTTAATAGTGAACCTCGTTCTTCATAG